CTCCTCCTAGGTGTCATTGCCACACAAATGCTGAGATGTTCAGAATAGTGAGGTTCAGAATATTTACCACAAAAGACTAGCATGGGGACTGTCAGTCATGCTTTTGGGACATGCTTAACTGAGGACTGTGTGTCAGGAAGGTGCAGAGCAGGTGTGAGAAAGCAGTTTCACACCAACAAAAATAGTGATTTTTTTTTCTTTTTTGCTAACAGTATTCACCTTGTCAAGTTAATCCTGTTTGCTCAACTGAGCAGCATTTTCATCAACTCTTTTGTCCCTTCCAATAACTCTTTGCTATGACCTATTCTGACTCCTGACTCAGCCTGCAGAGGTGGGAAAACAGGACTTGGAAGAGATGTTCCTGTCATGGGCTAACCAGTTTTCTCTTAATAGAACTGGAAGGAAATAACAACAACTCTTGCAAACCTCTCCACAGCCATTTGCTCATGAATTTGCCAGGACAAAGAGCAGAGCTCAACTCTGGCATGAGAGGGAGGGAGACTGCCTACAGAGGACCAGTACACTTGATCCTCTTAACTTTGCTGAGATACAACTAATGAGCAACAGATGGACATCACCCAAGGAGTTTATTTGGGAAACCTAAGAGTTTCCTCATATTTCTCATTCAAGAAAGACCAGGAAGCTAAGCAAGCTTTGGGTGACACCCTTTATTTTACTATTGTTTTCTCTTCTGCCTCAATTTTGACAGAGCTGCTTTGGCCATGCATTCCATTATGCTTTACACAGTGCATCCAGGGCTCAGCCTGAAGCACTAAATAAAATATGTTCAAATTAGGAAATGTTATGGGCTTGAATATATTACTGCAGATCACTCTCTTGCTACCACTCAGCACAAAGGTACCAGTTCCCTTAGCAAAGCTCTGCAGCTCCCTCTAACAGTGTCAGCACCTTCTATAAAAAGCACCATCAGATCTCACTTTTTACCTAATGAAGAAATAACTTTTATTAATGTGCTGTTGACAGACCTTGTGATGATGCTGGTTTTCTTAACTTCCAGTTAAGGCTCTGTTTCTGCCCAGCTAGGAAAGATGAACAGGGTAGCTGGCTGAGCCCCCTTCACTGCACAGAAGTCATCACCACTCTGTCAAGACAAGCTTTCTTTGTTCATCTTACAGCAAAGATCCAGTAACAAATCAAAAATTTAGGCAAGAAGAGGAAAAGGAAGGAAGGAGAGAAAGAAAAAGAAGACAGTAAAACAGAAAATTGCAGAAAGAAGACCAAAAGTGTAGGAGATAGGACCAACTGGAGGGACAGAAAATTTAAAATAAGAGCTTTACTAGGAGCTTAGCATAAACAGAAACTCACTTAACCTTTTAATTTTATCACACTGAGATTTATGGTTTGACATTCAGATTAAGTTTCTTTTGTTCTGGTATCAGAAGTTTGCATACAACCAGCAGCCTACTCAGAAGATCAACTGCTTGAGGAGGCAGAGGATGTGCTCTTTACCAAAGCCAGCACAGTGCATCCCTTTAAATGCATCCTCCTGGTTTCTGGCTACCCTCAAGTAGAAAGCATACTATTTTCTCACCTGAAGTCATGCTGCAGCATAATATTACTCATGTGAACTCTAAAGTTACTCTGACAATTCATTACTTTTAACCACAGACCCTTTTCTTCGTCTGTAGCTGGTACACTCACAGCCAGCTCAAGTCCAGCAGATGGGAACATCTGTCTCCTTGTGCTCAAAGAAAAGCATTTCCTACACCTTGTTTGTGCTTTCCACCTTCCTGGTGTCCCTTAGGGCAGTGAAACCCCAGCATGCTCCAGTTTGGGCTAGAATTGAATGAGCTGAACTACTGCAAAAAAATGTCCTCTAAATAAGGCCCTGGGTTTAAGGCAGCACACAGAATTTAATTTCCAGGTTAAATCTGAGACACTGGTAATCTTTACAGCTCCCTGTGCACCAGAGCCTGGAATTTAGTCTCACCAAATGTCCATGCTCCCATTCACTGATCAGCTTCAGAAGTGTAGTGCAGAAGGTAGTGCAAAAGAATGGCACTCACACACTGGATTTGGCTCTGTGCTTGAAGACAGCAAAGTTTTGATCTTCTCACATCCAAGGCAAGCAGCTGCCCATTTGAATTAGAAAAGACATTTCACAAAGCAGGAATCCCTCCCATCTCTTTCTTTTACCTCCTTCCCCTTTTAAAATAATCTCTAATCTGAACTACACAGATAACTGAGGAGATAGATTTCACGTTAAAAAAATAAAAAAGGTATATTCAATCACAAATCCTAGAGTGATTTCTAAGGAGAGTTCAATGACTTTCTAGCTATAAGATGACCCTCAGAATTTGAACCCTCTTACCAGGGACAGTTTTGCAGCATTAAAAAGCATTCTATTACACTAGGTCACTTTGCACTTCTGCATTTAGGAGATACAGCAAAAAGCCTCGCTTGCACACTCTTGGCTTAGTAAGGCCACTGTCCTCAAGGCTATGCAAGTGTGCTGCTCCTCACTTACCCCTTTTTATGGCTGAAAGCAAGTGACAGACTTGCTCTGAGGCACTCCTATATTAGGATTCGTATCTCTCTATACTGCAGAACAGAGAAGTAGTCCTTATTTAGTTCCTGCAGGCAACTATCAGGGTAAGAGCAAAATTGCAAATAGTGCTGTCAGTTGCTTTCTCTGGATGGATCCCAACAGCTCTGTACATGGGCAAAGCCGACAAGATCAGAAACTCACCAAGAGAAACAAGCAAAAAAGCAGCATCTCTACTGCTGCAGTAGACAGTGGAATACTAATGCAAAAGAGTTCGAGTCATCTGTCAAAATACTTCAGAGAAATGCCCAGTTACACAAAACTTACGTATTTCACGATACACAGGGGACCCTGGGTTTGGGGTTTTTTCAGCTCTGCATTATTGCTGCTATTTAGGAGATCAAGCATCCACATCACTTCCAAGCTCCATGGAAAGCAATGATGCAGCTCGTAACAACTATCTGAGCACAAAACCTGTGTTTGAACCAGAATGCAGGCTCATTTTCCCTATTTCTCTCACTGGACAGTTCTTATTCACACAACAAATCCTACTGAGCTGTTACAAAACATCAAGATACACAGGCACTGGCACCAGGAAAAAGCAGAGTTGAATGTCCAAAGAAAAACGCAAGGTCACCTATGGGGCAGCACTGAGAACAGCTCTGAGATGCTTCACACCCATCTTTAATACAAACTACGTTCACCTATTTGCACTGCAAGACTGAGATCAGTGAGAAGCCCTTGGATGATCAGTGTGCCCCCCAGGTGATCGCTGACAACACAGAATACATGAAGTTAGAGCTTCAAAGCTCTGGTTGCCACATGAAAACATCTCCAAGCTTAATGGGAGAAGCTGCCAACAAGGGCACACTGATGCTGTAATCTGGGGCACCTGAATCCCTTGTCAAATGTCAGGTTTGGTACTTGTTTAGATTCAGGGAGTATTTCCACGATCTCTGGTTTGTATAATAAACACAGAATGACAGCCTTTTAGAACTTTCTGCCCGAAGTTTACAACCAAGGATAAGAAATAAGTAAATCAATCTGTATCACAAAACACCTTTTGTTACCAACCCAGTACTCTAGAACTGCAAACACAGTTAACATTTCAAATGGAGAGAGGAGAGCCAGCTGTTTCCCCTTCCCCCTTCTACAGACCTCTGTAGGCAGGACAGGCAGCAGGGAGATTTTAATCCCTTAGAATCAACATTTTCAAGACCAGAGCTCTGTCAGAGAGCTTGAATATTGCTCCAGCCTGCTGCATGGGCCAACACATTAAAGCATGGGCTGTCCAAGAGACTTGGCTTTCCCAGTGGTTTAGTACCACCAGCTTTCTGCAGGCAGCCCTACCCCTACAACCAGACTGCATGTTCCTTCTTAAAGGCTGCAAAACAGCGGGGTGTTGTGCACTGACCTCAAGAATCACTTCCTTGGCATGAGGTCGTGAGCCGTGAGTTCTCCCCAGGCTAAAAAAGATCACATCTTACGAAGTAGTGGCAAACTCCATCACAAACTAGTTTGTTGCTGTCACCACAGAAGTGTGACTAATTCAGTAACTGGGGAAAGAGGGTTCCTGCACTGCAAATGCGTGCCTCAAGTAACGAGCAGGCCCACCCCTCCTCAGTGTCATCTTTATCTGCTCTTTATTTGGGTTCCAGAGTTACCAAAAGACTGCATGTGAAAGATTTAGTTATTAAAAAGAAAAAAAAGCATAAAACAAAAGCCAAGTTTTTTTCAAGACATTTTCCTTGGCCATTCAGAGAACAGGAAACATCAAGATACCACAAGCAGATCTTTGCAAAACCTCACATTATCCAGAACAAGTCCAAGGGCCATATCGCAGCATAGACTGCAGGCTGGGAAACCTTCAGTCAATGCATCTGAGCTGCGCTGCTCCACACGAAAGCCAGATTTTGATTTTATTTTTACAAGGCACTCCAGCTGCCCTGGCTTTCCCACATCTCTCTCAGCATTTCAGCTCAGCCAGCTTCCCCAGACCTTCCCCCATCACCATTCAGAGATTTGTGAACTGTGAGAAACAGATGTTCTCAAAGCATTTTGCTCTTACTCGAGCCCAAGAAAGACTAGCAAGGAAAAGGGGGGGCGGGGGGAGAAAAATCATTTAAGCAAATATTTCTCCCGGCCCTATTGACCTACAGTCCCAGAGAGTTTTCTACGAGCAATGCTAAAATGTCAAACTATTACTATAAAACTGTATCAACTCCTGCGCTCCCGCTCTCGGTGCTCGTTACCGGCTCACCCGCCGCTGTCCCTCGCTGTCCCCGGGCCCGAGGGCACCGCTGTCCCTTTCTGTCCCAGCGGCCGGGGACACCGCTGGCCCTCGCTGTCCCCGGCCGAGGGCACCGCTGGCCCTCGCTGTCCCAGAGGCCGGGGACATCGCTGTCCCTTTCTGTCCCAGCGGCCGAGGGCACCGCTGAGCCCCCGACGCCCCCAGCCCCCCGTGCCAGGCTCCCGCCGCGCGGTCCCCACCGACCTGTGCAGGAGCAGCAGCAGCACTTCGCCAGGAGCCATCCTACACCGGAGCGGGCGGGATAGCCGCGCCTGCCCGCTTTCATGCTGCCTTCGGGCTGCTCATGGCAAGGAGCCACCGGCCCGCTTGCGAAAAACAACGAAAGAAATAATAATAATAAAAGGCCCTAAAGCAAAAGCAAAAATAATAATAAAAAAAGCTACTTGTAAGCGGGCGAGCAGCGCGGCAGAGCCGCTGGCGGCCGCGGCGCCGGCAGCCGCTGTCCCCCCGAGCCGGGCGCGCTCCGCCGGGGGTGGCGCCTGCAGCGGGGGCGGCGGGGCCGGAGC